TACACACAAACCAGCGCAATTATTGTTTTGGTAGTTTTTCTTTGTTTGCATGTGCTCTTGAAGCAGCTGGTTCTACAGTTCCTTTTTGATGCTATTGTGTGCCGTTGATACAACATGTTTTTGGCTTTGCCAAAGCACGCTCTTTTGTTTGACATGAGGCCTTTTCGGTGGGAACTCCTACCAAACAAAATCATGGCAAACATTATCGTACCAATTAATTGAAGTTGGAGAACCCACTCTTTTCACGACGGGCACAAACCATTAGGACGGCCCCTCCACTAAAGTTGAAGGTCTGGTCCGGGGTACTCAAAGTTCTGTTCTGTTCTGTTCACATGATCATGCGAGTGGAAAGTGGTAACAGACAGGAGCACAACAACGAAGGCAGCCAAAGACAAGCATCCCTGCCCAGCCCTGCCTCTCTCTCCAGTCCCAGGTCCACTCAGGCCCACCCTTCCAATACGGTTGGCAATCTGTGATTTGATGCATTCGCCCCACAATTTTCCAATATTCTACTTGCTCTCCATGCTTCCCCTCCAGATTCTGCAGATTCATTTCAGGGGTGGTGTTTGTCAACGGAAGCCTAGTATGCAGGACGTTCCTTCGAAGATCGAGGCATGATTGAGGACGATCCTTGGTTTCGTTTCACCTGTTCAGGTTCTGAAGCGTATGCAACTGGCGGCAATCTCGATCCTTGGATATCCTTGGATGCCCTTTTTGTGGCCCTTGTTGCAAGTTCGATGCTCAACAAGATGTAGATATTGGACCCCCGTGTTTGCAGCAGATGGTCCATCCACCCCGTTCATGTTTATTCTAATCAATAGTGTTTCCTTCCTATCAGAGGAGTCTAATATCAATGAATTGGAAGATCATGTCCTTTTTTCACGAAAGCTAGCACCAGCTAGCTGGAGTTGTCCTTGCTTTAGCAAGTGAGGGGCTGGAATCCTCGAGATCGCCGCATCACGTGAAAACTTCATATGTAGGGGGGGGCCCCCCCCCCCCGTGGGTTCAACTCCCCCCTGGGACGCCTTTGGGACACCTCTCGGGCACCTCTTATAGCATCCACTTTGGTTTAACTCCTCCGGGATACGGTGCAACAGATTCAGCAAGCTCACAGGTTCATGACATCGACATTGATAGAAGAAACCAAGTAAATCATGCAAGCAGCTTTGTTTTGCCTCTGGGACACCTCTTGGGCACCTCTTATGGCATCCACTTTGGTTCAACTCCTCCGTGGAGGTTTTGGGATACGGTGCAACAGATTCAACAAGCTCACAGGTTCGTAAACACATCGGATGCATCGAATAGTGTGGCAAAGTCCAGCCACGCTTCCTTATTTATCGGGGACTTCAATTCTAAGGTTAGCCAACTTCAATTCTAAGGTTGGCTGTGTCATTGCTGTTTGTGTGTCTTACAAATTCACAACGTTTTGCCTCATGAGCATTTGCCTCAATCCGCTTGATGTCCCACCAGTCCGGATGCACCCCTGCCAGCTTTCGTCACCTACCCTCGGCCTCAAGTGACACTTCTGTAGTGATGAGATGTGAATGACTTTGATGATTGGCTGGGACCGTACAGACTTGCATAATTCAATTCTGTGAACCTCCCGACGTCTTGAGACGTGGTTTCAGCCGAGGATCTGCGCACATACCAAGTGGCCTACAGCGAGACCTGGCCAGAGGAGCTGCGCCGCACCGTGCGCCGCTTCCGAGACGTGGCCTACAATGTGAACGATGTCTTCGGACAGCGGACGCTCGGTGCAAAACATCCGGGTGGCGAGGTTGACTGCAGGTGTTCAGGGTGACTCAGCTTGACTTGCTTCTTTCAAGGAATTATGGCAATGATGTGGTTGATTTTTTGCAATTGTTGCTAGCCAAAGAGCTGAAGGCGGAAACAAACGATGTAAACTTGTAAACGGTTCACTCGTTTGAGGCGGCTACAGGGTTTTAAAAGCTATTCCGGGTTGAGTGTGTGAAGGTCACGTGGAAATGACATCATCACCACCCCTGCCATGCGATTTACTAGTTACTAGCACCTTGGATAGGATAGCAAGTCCACCATGTTTGTGTTTCATGGGTTTGGTTGCTCCGGGCGAGCTTTGGGCTGGGCAGTTGAAGATCAAGCTAATATGAGGTTCAAGCACACCTGATTGTTTGGTCAAGTGCGTAGCAACGATGTTTGGGCCATGTGCTTGGGGCTCGAGAATTCAGGCAATATTAAGAAAGTAGAAAGATGCAAACCACAGTCCGTGAGGTGTTCCCAGTGCTTACATGTTCCTTGCTTCTCAGATTTCACACCAAGGTTGCACGAGAAAGGCCCAGGCGATCTGGATCCCCTGCCAGAAGCTCATCGCTTCCCACTCACTGTGGAGGCTAGACGCTTCATGAGGTGTTCAGAACTGGGTGCCACATGCCACTAGGTGTTTGTCGTTTGACATCGTTTGTTTGTTTTTGTTTGTATTCGTAGCACGTGTGGGCGCCAAAGGATCTGGATGTAAAGCGGCTGTTAGTCGTTTGTGTGTCTATGTGCCTTTTCCCGGTCATTTTGGACGAAAGAAGACCCCATTCAATGCAGGAATCTGCTCTGGACCGACTGATTCAAGCGGAGATGCAGGCCGCGGCGGTGAGACGGTCCGGATTGGGTCCGACGGACGTGGCCGGCACACTGTGGCACGAGAAGTTTAGGCTGCTGGCTTGGTTTGCCTGGTTGATACATGTTGGTACATGCAAGTGCCAGGCAGAGTAGGAGGCCATCGCTATTAGGTTGGAGGCCATTGCTATTAGGTCGGAGGCCATTGCTTCTAGGTTGGAAGCTATACCCGGTCTACACATCCGCAAGTGCCAGGCGGCAACGCGCTCCAACAGGAACTTCAGAGCTGGTCGATTGGAGGTGCCGAAGGAATCCATGTCGCAACATTGGGTGACCAAGTTCAAAATGAGAAACTTAAGGCTTAAGCCTTTATATAAGAGACACATGTTGATACTTTGGAGCTTAATGTGTGGGGAACCATTTGAGCAGAAACAGCCAGAAGAATCGCACATGTTCGCACAGACTTACAGTCTACTTCGTTTATCACTTATCACCGTTTTGATGTCTACCTACCGCTTGTTCTTAGTTTGTTCAGAGGGCAGAGCCATGTCGAGACTCGAACACTCTGAGCAACTGGAGTGCTCGTTGAGCCCCAAAAATCAACACCGGCTTTGTGTGCCACCTATCGCAGGCACCTGGAAAAGAAGACAAGGCCATATGTTGTGCATATTTTAAGTCGTTGCGCATCCAGACTCATTGAAAACACTGTTTCTTGGTTTAGGGCTTCAGAGGCAAAAGGGGGCAATTAGATTTGCTGACCCCGCCGACCGCGGCTCCGAACCTACGTTTTCCAGTGTTATAGACTATAGGTGTACCAGCCTCGATCACACCTCCATACTTCATACAGAACGTTCTTGTATCAAACCTCCACGTCTCCCAGACATTGCTTGGATGTACTTGTATTTTCATTCGAGGCTAATCCAAAACTGCTGACTTCTTCCGCAGGGAAGGGAGATTGATATCATCGAAGAAGAGGACATTGAGGAGTTTGAGTCATGGACTCCTCTCAACTCAGAAGATGGTGCCTTGACACAACGCAACAGGATGCTTGCTCAGATTTCGTGGGACCTCGGATATCGGATATACATGATGTGAATGATGTGTTGTATGTTTATTAACATATATATATATATATACTGTACATATACATACATGGTGTTCAGGATCATCACCCCAACCTGTCGGCCTGGTGCCAAGAGGTACAAAAGATAGGAGCAGATAGGACTCTTCATCTAGAGTGCAGGTTGCAATGGTAGGTTTGTCCACCCAAGCGCGAACAGAATGATTGAATGTGGATCACATTCAAGTTCTGGCGTGACCCATGTTTTTTGTCAAGAAAATTGCAGGGTGGCCAAATACCAAATCTCGTTTCTACTGAGAGGTTCATTCTTTCGGGTTGATCGGAGCAAATGGCTAGGAGGAATTGCTGTCACTGTGTTTGACTTGTGTGAAGGTTCTGAAGCTGCCGGCGAGATTGTTTAGACAAGCTGCTTGTAGGGTCTTCACTCGGCGAGACGTTCAGCTTTAATGATTAATGGCAGTTCAAAGAGCATCCAATATTTAACAAAGATGCATCTGAATTGGGCTGGCTAGCCAGTTAAAGAAACCGGTGAGAAATATGTGGCATATAAGTCTACTTCGAGCGCTTGGCCTTCAGGTTGAGCCATTGGGCCGATCCAAAATCTGTCTTTTTATCATCACTCCTTGAAGCAAGAAAGCCCTCAGACGAGTGAAACCACGCCCCGAAGTCCGCTGGAGCGTTTTGGGACAGTCCACCTGTTTGACTGTTCAGACTTGAAATGACGGGGTCACCAGCCTGGGTTTTTAAGTGTTTGACCTGTGCGTCAACAGTTCATTCCTTTTGGCTCGCACACCGGCGAAGTCGGCAGTCAGAGCTTCCGTTTGTTTCACAAATGATTGAGCATGCCACGTCAAGGCAGTGAATGTGAAGAAATAGAGGGCGAGAGAGATCGAGAGACTTGTTTTTCCAGGCATCATTTGAGTCAATGCCTAGGCTGACTGATGTTTTGAATTGTGTTGATTTGTTCTTGTAAGGGCAATTGCTCACTTGGGGCGGTTTCCCTTCAACTGCATGCACCCATCAGCAGGTAGCAGGTCTCAACATGCTCAATCAACTATATAGTCAGTCAGTCAGTCAGTCATTTAAATGACTTGCGTCATAGACGCTCTTACAGACGGTGAGTGACACAGCCCATTCCTATGACAGGATGCTTTTGGGGCTGCATCCTCACCTTCTCAGCACATTGCACGAATAGGTTCGCGGGGGAAATTAGGGACAGCTTTGCTGTCCAAATGCAAAAAAGCCTGGAACAAAAAAGACTGTGCGAACTTGATCATCAGTGGATGCTCAGCCATGCCATCGATAGATTATGCCGGTGAGTCATGTGTGGCAGGACTCCAAAGGTGCAGAAGCACATGTGGCAGAACAGGTGCACAAAAGAGAGACGTTTGTGCCATATGGAAGAATACGGTCGTTTACTGGGCACTCCGTGTGCTCATTGTGTCATGATTGCGCTTTGGAATGGGGAGGGGCCTAGTCACAGGAATATAACCTGCAACGCATGCATTTGAAGAGAGAAGAAAGAGAGAGAGAGAGAGAGACACACACACATAACACATCATACTACACACACATACCTGACAAATCATGATGGTTCTGGCATTTGGGGTACCTATGGGCACCTCAATCATTTCTTGATTTGAAGCTGTGGACCTTGGGGGAAAAAGGTCCACAAGTTCGCTTACAATGCTGAACGTGTTGACCTCAGCCTTGGTCGTCCTAGTTTCGGCTTTGAGACGGGTCTTTTTAAGACGCGGAACTTGAGAGCGAATCCGCAGCTTTTCTCAGGTCGATACCGACGCGGCTTGAAGTGGATTGAGATGGACCATTGAGTGAACACGAGCCACATGTTTCAGCGTGGACCGTAGCGCCTAGCAGATACCCAGTATAATATTAAATACATAGTGTAAACATAGCAGCCACCCAAGCTCCTTCTGTACTGTAGTTCTATTGAGCCAGTTGAACTGATTTGCCCTCCTGCAGGTGTTCCTGGATCACTTCCTTCCCCGTCTTGCTTCCAGACGGGTCGTCTTGCTTCGGCAGGACAAGAAAGAAGATCGAAAGATACAACTAGAGCAAGCGACCTTGAGGCTGGCTCTGGTGAACCCGAACCCGTCGATCCGGGAGACGGGGTCGACGGGGTCGTCTCGGTCTCAGGATGCGCTTGGCAAAGGCCATGTCCTTGGCCCACATGCGCTTCGGGGAGAACCCGGAGCCAGCACCACCCGCAGAGAAGGCTGGGAGATTTGACCTATCTGACCGAGTCTGAAGGCTCATGACTTCGGACCTTCCCCAACTAGAACACAGCCTACAATTCGGAGTAGTTATATGACGAGTGATGTTCGATTTGTTTATATGGCCCGGCTGGCACGGGCTGTGCCTCTCAAATCCGCCATGGGCCACGACTGTTGGACCCGTTGAAATGTGTTGGGACCACGAGGCCGCCTTAAAGGAAGGCCGCCAGCTGCTGGCAGAGGTGCTGAAGGTCTCAGAGGCGAACCCCCGTCAGTCTCACACGGGAGTCTGGAAGATTGGATCCAACAAAAGGAAACACAATAAAGGACGACACCCCTCTTTGCGAGGTGTTTATGCTCCTTTATTTATATACTTGGTGAGTCACATTTTGAGCGTCACTGCCCGTGGCTTGGAGGCCCTCAACAACGCCTCGGTCAGATATGAATGCATGAAGATGAACTTGCAGGTGCTGAGCTTTGCGAAAGCTGGTGTTGTTTGCTTTACCTGAACGGAGGAGTCTTCACATTTGGCACACGACGTGTCCCACGACCGACACCAAGCTGTGACATCAAGCTGTGGCGCCGCTCATGAGGTTTGCATCCAGGACGAAGATGTCGTGGAGGCCCGAAAAGTCTTGGCGCAGCTCCAGGACGAATGTCAACGGACGGAGATTAATTGTTTGTTGTATGCGCGCGCGAGTGTGTGTATCAGTGCTTCACAGATTTCAGATACGTTTTGGGATCTATTGGAAGATATCATCGAACCTTGTTTTGGTTTCTAATTAGCGCAGGGAGCTGGAAGCCAAAGCAATCTGCAGAATGCCGAATGCCGGCATGGAGGTTCCTTATTTTCCGAGAAGGCTTGTAGACAGGTATCATACACTCAGGTATATCCTGTATCCTGGTATCGTCCTGTTGAAGCCTGTTCCAGAACAACAGAACAAGAGGAGAGGCCGCTTGCACTTCATCACAGGAGGAGCGGCCCGACGATGAAGACTTGAAGAGTGACAATGCTAGGCCTGGAGGGAAAGCGAACAGGTGTGGAGGGTGAAGGAAGAGAGATTGTAACTACTTGTCCAAAAGTCCAACAGGTATCGGAATGTATCGGATACATTGCTCAGAATAAAGTCATGAGTTCAGAAGACTGTCAGTGAGGCTTTGTTTGCAGATACTGGCAGGGTTTTCGAACAGGACTTTGATAGTCAGATTAGATCACCGACAGACCTGCCACTCCCGCAGCATCTTCCATTGGTTCTGAGAGTTGTGACCGGCTGTGTCGCCAAAGTTGCTGCAGCCATGGAAGCGCTTGAGCCGCTTGAGGCAGGCGGCGGGAATGCCGTTGTTTGTTACTACAACTACAACTCCACAAGCTGGTTGTATAGGCAAATCATGATCATTGAATGTTGGTCGTGAGTAGGATCAAGCCTGACAATTTGAGTACTCACACCGTTTTGGTGCTCTCTTTGGTTCGGTGTTTGTCCTCGTTCCCCTGCCAGACTTGTTGGCGCACTCGATGCACCCATTGAGTCTTTGGTGCCTCTTGTTACTAGTAGCTTCTTGTTACCTTTAGCGATGGCCTCCACCTATAGTAGCGTTTTTGCTCCTAGTAGTAATGCCCTTTGCCGATGTTGTTCCCAGCCGTCAGGTGCCCATCACAGGACTTTTAGTCCCGGATGAGATTGATGGCTCGGGGACCCGGAGAGTGACGGTTTGCCCTTCAAGTTGACCGAAGCAAAAGGTGGGCAAACATGGTAAGAGTTGTACCTGGATTTGTGGCAAGAGTCTTCGGGACTTCGGGCGCACATCCCGAACATCCAAAATGAATCAAGCAACAGAAAAGGACCATTTGCTGTAGGGGCTGCGAGCCCCTTGATTTTAAGGAGGGCTGCGATAATCACTGTGTTCACATACGCCAAGGCTTTGAAGACCAACGGCCATCTGTGGGATCAGTGCTACATGGCACAGGCGGCTTTTTGCGCGTGTCAAGCAGCAGTGGAACAACAGATGTGATTCATTGTGCTTCCATGCTCCTTTGCAAGTAATTGCAGTGCGCAGCACGGTCACCACGCGAGACGGCCACATGAGCGGAGAACTTCTGACGCTGTACTTCTACTGTGTTGGATGAAACAGGGTGGTGAAACCCGGGAGCAGCGCTGGTCGTTTGGACGCGGCAAATGTTTGGAGAGGTGAGTGCAAACCCTGCGCTTGGTACTGGAAGCCTCAAGGGTGTCGTCACTTGGCGCAAGAATCGCAGACTGCCCGGCTTGCCTGGGTGCCATGCAGAACGAGCGACGTGAGGTGAAGGCAGTATCCGAAATGGATGACAGGGGCAAAAAGCTAATACAGCGGCTACACTGCTACAGTCGTTTCATGCCTGTCGCTGTTAAAATATGGGATATCCATTTCCTGGATAGTATTATGTTGTGGGATAGTTGATTGATCTTGGCCCTTGGCTTTTTCTTGGTATGTGTTTTCACCTGTGAGCAAGGCTGAAGTCATTGCCTTTTATGTTACAGTCCTCGCAATGACTGGTCTGAACTCAGGAAATGGGCAAGAGTGCTTGCACTGCCACCTTTGTCCTTGCCACTTGGCTTTGGTTCCAGTCCAGGTACTCATCGGCCTTTCGTTGAGAAACCCGCTAGATTCAGCTGCCCAGGCTTTATCATAATGTATAGGCAGTCAGGGTGGAAAGGGACACGACCAAGGGATGCCTCCCGTTGTTTTTTCACATTTGATTTGATACGATTTGATCTTTTTGTGTCACGAGTGGGTCAAACCATGTTAGACCCAGGTGATGAAATCAAGGCAAGGAAGAAGTCTCAGCAACTTGGACGAACTCTGAGGCGGTCAGATCAGCACCGAATAAAATGAGCGAACCTCTTGTGGGACCGGTGTTTCTGACTGGCCACATGCTGGACCCTGGACCTGTTTTTGTCTCTCTCGGCTATGCAAGACACAACGGAATATGCTTATATATATAATATGATATGATATATATATATATGCTATATATTTTTGAATCATTATATAAGTTAAAGAAACCACATTTAGCTTGCTTTTACATATTTGGCTAGCTTTAAGTTCTTTTAAATTCCTTGTATAACTATAGTATTCCATGTACAGTATATAGTTACTCTAGAAACTATAAACACTCCTTTGTCAGAATTATCGAAACAACCTCCAGTTCCGTGATTCGGGGTCGTTGTGGCCCTCATCAACATATGTTTTGTTTGCGAGAGATGTTTTGTGCTTTGCTTGCATCCTATTTCTGACTGTTGACAACAGCTGCATCATGGGTAGCCCAAAGGATCTTGAGGAAAGAAAACTGTTTGTGCATGGATGTGGTGAATGCCCTTTTTACGACCCCCCGCCGCAGCTCTTTGAGCGGCCAACAGGTGAGTACATTGTAGTTCTGGAAGAAACCCTAAAGGCCCTAAACCTTTCTGATTCCGTAGAAGCTTTTTGTTAGAACTAGGGCCTATAATGCCCTTGTTACTAGTAGCGGTGCACTTGTTACTAATAGCAATCTGTTGGGCTCAAGGCACAAAACCCTTGCAGAAAAGATGGTGAAGTCCATTGACCTGCAGTGCCTTGGAGACATCGATTCACACAAATTGGACTCGGCTTGACGATTTTCAGTCTGGCACTGTGAGGAACATCACCCCCGTTTGCCCCCAAAGAAAGAAAACAAACGGCCCACGGCTCCCAAACGCTTCCGCACGTGGCGCAGGTCGGAGTCAGTGCTCCGATTGCTTCGACGGCCCCCAGGCCTTCAGCTAGGGACAGGACGGTCTTCGGGGATCCCATGGGGATCCGAGTTACGCCAAAACCACTGTGGGGATCCCGTGTCCGACGCTGACTAGGCATGTCTGTCTTTGGGTAATTTCGAGGCTTGCCTGTGGCCTGAGACCCAAGAGCGCCCAAGAGCTCGTTCTTTTCAGCTTCTTTGAAAGAAATGCCTAGTTTCTGGCCACACGACACGGAACTTGGACAATGCCAGGAGATCCGATCTCTGATTTGGACGATGCCAGCTTGGGCTCAGCCTTGCATGGGACAGGTAGGTGGATTTGTGCTCGGGAGCGGCTTCGACCAAGACTGGGAGCTATTCTAGAATCGATGCATTTTTGCATTAAAGCAAGGGGAAGGATGGGAAGGCATGCGAGAAACATTCCGTCAACTCCTTGCGGCCGTGGAAATTGCAGGAGCACGTTCAAGACATTCTGTCAACATCCCAAGGATGCCTTGTCGCCACAGACATCGACTCAACCCTCAATGTTCGTTTCTGCTCGTACCACTCGTATCCAGTTTGGCTACCAGGGGACTGCAAGCCTTGCACTTGGTTTTGGCGTCCGAAGGGCTGCGAGAAGGGAGCTGACCTCAGTGTGAGGAGCCACACCGAGGACGCCCGACATCTCGCGAAGACCAAGAATCCACGGATGTCCATGCACGCTCACCATCTTTCACACTGTTGCGAAGAACAACCAAGATGCCACAACAAAGATTTCACACTGTTTTCTCCTGTCTTTCACATTGTTCATGCCACAACAACGGAGACAACAAATGTGGCCACAACGAATCGCCATCGGGGCGATTCAGACTAATTACATGATATAATTACTAATTGATTGCGGAGAAGATTGACGGGTAGGCAGTGCAGCGGTTCTCGATGTTTGAATTGTTTTTGGAGCAATTGTTCTAGGGATTCTAGGGCTTTCGCAGACTGCCAATGGCTGCGCCGATTCCGGTGCTCGATCCACATGACCGCATCTCCAGAGGTCAGTCCTGCCGCTTTTGCCATGTTTGCCCACCCGGCGCTGAACCCAGCTCATTTTAGAGTGGGGACTGCTTCAGCAACTGCAGGTGACTTGTTTCCTTGTACTGCACTCTACACGGTCCTTGCCACATCCTAGCACTCCCTGTGCAATGCATGTCATGTGGCAAATCTCCAAGAATGGAATCCTCAAAGATTGCTGCAGGTGAGATTAAGTCCCGCCGTTTGAAGCTGAAGATGCAGCAGGCCTGATGTTGTTGCCAACACTGGTCAAGATTGGGTTTCTGGAGGGTGGACACTGGAGAAGCATTGCTCATTTGTATGATATTGTATGTCATTGCTCAAGCCCTGATTCTTATAGGATTTGATTGATCAAGTAAGGCCGTCGTGCAAGATTGTGGATTGTCATGAAGTAAGTGCCGGAATGGAGAATTCATGCGGACCTACGTCTATCTCCAACTCTTCAACGCTTCCCTGCATGTGAATGAACTCCGAATTCAGAACACATGGTCCAGCATGGTCTAACCAATGATGTGCCAGGATGCCGTCCCTCGCAAAGCCCATTTCAGTCTGTGCCTCAGAAAGTTCTGTTCGGCCCCACCTCCCAGTCAAAAACCCTATCTCCCTGCCCCAGCCCTTCCCTGTCCCCCCCACCCCCCCCAACTGAAAAAGAAAAACGAAAGACCAAAAAGGCCCACCGAAAAATCCACTCCGGCGTGCTTCGCCTCTTGCGCGCGCTGCACGGACGGACCTCCCAGGTGACGTCGATGCACGGAGCTCCGAGCTCACCTGGGAGGTCGAAGCACCGCTGTCCAAACGGGGAAACCAACGGTCACAAGTCAAGGCTACAGAGACAAAGGCAGAGAACCCCAATTTGTTCCAGAACGGGCCCAATGTTTATACAGCATCGAGCCACGCAATGTTTTCCCAAGCAGTTTCATGACTTCAAACGGCAGGCCAGTGAAGGCAGCAGTCCTGCAGAGATGGATCTTCCAGAGGCCACAGCAGCGTTCGGAGACCGGGGAATTGCTTCATTCGAGAGGGAGGGAAAGACAAAATCAATTCCCAGGTGCTTTTTCTGACGAATTGTCAAGATGGATAAACCATAAGGGTTGAAGCTTGCGGTCACAGGCCACAGAAAGCATGAAAGTCAGAAAAACATTGCGGTTTGTACATGTAGCATATGATGAACTATGGAAACAATCCGGAACATTGCTATATGTCAACTGGAGTTCTCAAACGACCT